TTCCTAACATTTAAAAAAAAAAAAAAAAAAAGAACACAAATCTTGCATTAGTATTGTAGAATTTGTAAGAGACTTTTCAAATGTTGCTGAGAATTTTTTTTTTGGAGGGGGAAGCCTTTTCATCACAACAGAAAATATGTAATAAAATTGTTCAATCTAATAAAATTGAGTAGCAATCATTCCTTGATTCTCCTCCCCAAACACAGTCAGAATTACATTATTTAGAGGAAGAGTTTGCCAGGCCTACCACATTAAATTTACCACCAATTCTTGTCATTCTGATTACAATGATTGACTGCCTGCATTATTTATTTAGTCTTTTCTTTCTAAGCAAAAAATAGCTTTGAATTTGTTCACTTTCTGCCCATAAACCATTGTTTTAGTTTGGTGTTTGAGAATGTTGCTATTTAAGATGCTGTGGTGGAACACAAATATAGACTTTGAGTGTGAAGGCTTGAGTTAGTGTCTCAGATTTGCTTCAAAAACTGCAGTAAATCTGCATTATAATATTGTATTTCACAGGATTATTCTGAGGACCCAAGAAGATTAAAAGCAGGAATGTAATTTTAAACTATATTATGTAATTTAGAATACTAAACTTTATCCCGCCTAAATATCATTACATAAATAATCTCAACATAGTAATATCAAGTTCAATGATATTAAGAATGGCTTTTCCTAAGTCTGTAATCATATTAAGTAAGGGTCATTGTTATTAAGACTTTTGATATGTGTATATAGATATGTAATTACTCCTCATTACTGATATTGCTTTTTATGTATGTTTTCTTTATTCATAATAAGACTCTTGTCTGAGTTTATGTTACAATTTAAAAATGGATATATTAAAATATAATTAACATATTTTATTTTTAAAAAGGCCTTTCTTTGTTACTATTATTAATTTTACTATTTATCTGACAATAAAGATTTTTGGATGGCAAACTGCTCGATATCAATAAAGACTTTCAGCCATATTACGGGGAAGGAGGACGCATCCTGGAGATACGGACTCCACAGGCAGTGACCAGCATTAAAAAGCGAGGAGAAACTCTAGGCTACACAGAAGGTGCTTTGCTGGCTCTGGCCTTCATCATCATCCTCTGTTGTATTCCCGCTGTCTTGGTGGTTTTGGTCAGCTACAGACAGTAAGTACTCGTAGATGCTAAATATGGGTAGTTCTTCAAGAAGGTGTGATGGAAAACCCATCTCTGGTAACATGGCTTTGTAGCTGTAAAATATTGATGGTGCAGTTATGCTGGGATTGCTGTATCCTTCTTGTACCAAATGACCTTCCTTTGAAGGAAAACAATACAAACTTCCAGTGCATTTTTCAGATCGCTCGATGTTCCTGTTATCTTAATACATTCTCATGCAGTAGGAATATTTAGGTTAGATCCCGTGTCTTCATGTTCTTCATCAGGATAAGAGCCTTGGGAGACAAGGTAATAGGTATTCTGGGGAAAAGGCAGTGGAATGTCATATGCAAACGCCCATTTCAGCCAGTTCCAAAGGTAGGTCCATAACCTAACTCCATTGTCATGCAAGGTTTTTATCCAGAACCTTAAGTTTACCTCTGCACAGATGACGAGTGTTGGCAAAAGCGTTTAAAATGTGTAGCATGTCATAAGTAATTTTCCATGTTTCATCTTTCCTGGATAGGCCTATATTGTAACATCTAACAGTATATTTTGGCTGTACAGGCCTTAATTTTTTTCTGGTTCTTGGGGGGAAATGCATCCATTTAAAATCCCTATATATGTTTTTTTCTAATTTAGGCCCTTCAAAGTAGTCATGTAATTATCACTAGTTTAAACATCTATATTTGAGATAGGCTAGTAAGCTATTCTTTATTTGACACTAGGCATGGTGAACCTTTGTGATAGAGGACTACACATTTAAAGTATATCCCTATTGACAATGATTGGTGAAAATATTGGAGAATAGGTTAAGAAGAAAGGTAAGCCTGAGGGTGCACAAAATGAAAATAAATAACAGACAAGAATCATAAATCATATAAATTGCTTACATAACAAACAGAAATAATAGTGGAGCTGCTATTCATCATTTGAAATACCTACAGGGAAAGTCTTTATGTATTCTTAAACTGTTATCTTTGTTCTCTAACACTGAGACTTTTATTTTGAATTAAATTAGGTAAGGTAATTCTAATATGAGAGTTAAAATGTATGTTCTGCATGAAGATGCTATAGGAATATTTTCCATTACGAAAGCAATGTGAAGTTGCAAATCTAATATTTAGATTGATATGCTGAAGTGCCATGTATCCTTAACAGGTCAATTTATATGCTAAATTTAAAGCCTATGAAAAAACTTACTACTGGACAATTTGTTTTAAATTATTAAGTTATCAACTCAATATCAATTTTCATGTGAACTGTAATCTCCATTATAGCTATCCTTTTCATCCAACTATTTCTCAAAAGAGCTTTATTATATACTTCTAGCAATAATCTCAGTGAGAAAACTTACATTTGACATGCAATGCAATGATCAAAAACTGGGTGCTCTACTCAGTAGTATGAAATTTAACAAAAATTTAATATGCTTACTATTTAAACAGTTTGTAGGTGCATTATTTAATTATTTTAGTTCAGTAATCAGCTCAACATTCTACAAAGTAATTTTAGTTACTTTTTGTTTTATAGATTTACAGAATTAGACAAAATGAGTTTGACACAACTCATGTTTCAAAAAAAAATTTTTTTTTAAAACTCTAACATTTGTACTTTCATTTCTGCTTATAAATAAGATTGAAATGGATGGTGATTATTTTATATTAAGATGTGTCTTTGAATTTTGCCATTCATGGAAAACCAAGAAGCAAATCTGAAAAAACATTTCATGAATTCATTGCCCAGAAGTGAAGTGGCACCTTTCAGCTTCAAAGTGAAGCCAAGAGTATAAACAGAGCTCCTTGCCTGACTCCATTTCTTTAATATTCTCCAAGCACACTAAACCAAGAAGCCAATTATAAAGATCAGATCATTTTTAATATTCCGTTTCTCCATCAAAGTTTAAATTCACAAACCCTTGTTTTAATCCAGTTTTTCTTATTTTATTTAGTTCATTTCTTTGTTTTCTTGTAATGAATGTTTTAATAGCTTATACGACTGTGACAGTAATCATAAAGTGCTTACCAGTTTCACCTTCTGAATTGAAATACTTAGTTTCCCTATTATGTCATTAAATCTATGTCAGAGTCTAATCAGTAAACTATTCGTAACTTAAAATAAGTCACATATTAAAATATTATGAATGCAATATTTCTAATGTAGCTTTCTTTTTTTTTCTTACTCATTGCTTTCCCAAACAGGTTTAAAGTGTAAGTATAATTACTAATATTTTGCACATGATTTTATGTAATGTGAAAACAGAAACCCCAGATAATATTCATAAAGTAGTCAGCCTACCCAGAACCATGCATTATTTGTCTGCTTTGTATCTGTAGTAGGTGTATACTCTTCAGTTCAAATTCCCTTGTGGCTTTGTATATATAGAATTGAGCTGGTTTTACACAATCGGATGCAAGTGGAGGAAATGTGAAAAAGACAGTTTGCTTTGATAGCTTCTACCTTTTGAGATCTTGATTTTGAGGAAAGAATTATCAGTGTCCAGGACAGTCAAAAAGAACAGCCTAGCTTTACTGCAAGAATCACAGGCATTCCTAGACCTACAAAGGGAATAAAAACTAACCAAATCTCCCTCCTAAACGTGCCCACCTACCCAGCCTCTGTAAACTAATGCCAAAAATGCTTCAAATCATTTTTAAATAAACCTTCTATTTAAATAGATGAATGATGAATAATAAAATAAGATTATATATGTCCCATATGCCTCATATTATGAAAGAAATCCATTAAAACACTAGCAAGTGTCAATCTCATTTTTATATTTTGCTTTCTTCCATTAATATTATCATTTAATCTTTGCAAATATTTCCAGTGAATTCCACCCAGTAATCAAGGAGTAAATGTTTAAAGAACTACGAGGCAGGGAGAATTTGTAAATGATAGCCTGTGGGGATGCTTTTGTAATATATCAGCTTATAAATTCAAATACGGGTGTACAAGATTTTTTTAACGTTCGTTCCTCTGATAACTGTACACTATTATTACAAGGTAGCCTAGTGATAAGCGTATGACTTCTAAAGTAGTTTTACACAACATCCTTACTTTACTAAAGACGCCAAGAGGAGTGCACCAAGGCAGCAAAGCTCCAAGCCGCGGCCGCGCTGATGCCTGCGGCCAAACCAGCAGCACCTGCAGCAGCACCCGTGGCCGAAGCCCCGCCGCCGCCGCCGCCCCCGCCCCCGGGGGCACATCTCTATGAGGAAGTTGGGGACAGCGCAGCGTAAGTAGACCTTTCAGGGGTTTTAAGAAGTAAGTGGGTTTTGATGGATGCTGTGTGGTGAGTATTTAATTTCACGTAATGTTGAAAAGCTGTTTGCAGCCTACTTTATTATATTTTTTCAAAACAAAATATTGTTAAGATGAGAACCTAAGAGAAGTTAGAGAAGTAATAACAACAAAACAAAATTTAAAAAAAAAAATAAAAGAAGTATTCAATATGAAGAGACACTTGCAGATGAATAGTTTGAATTTTTATTATATTTTTAATCTCTAAATCTTTAGAATCATGTAAACATTCTTCTTCCACAATTAAACGTAGATTCTGAAAACAACTTTTTTTCTTTTCTCATAGAAAATTAGAATAAAGCACATTTATAAAGTAGTAATTCTTGATTTGGCATCAAAAGCCAACACCTGCTTTGTTACGTAAACAAATTGTATGGCCTAAAACCATAGACTTTTCTAATATACTATTTGAGAACATCGTAAAATACAGTAATTGAAATCTGAATGAAAATAAAGAATATTAACTACCCAAACACTTAGAAAAATTTTTTATCATATTCCTTTCGAAAGGCTGTTGTGATAGCTTAATTACTTCTCCTACATTATTTGTAATTGCTAAGCAATATTAAGCCATTTTTGAAAGAGACTTTTAAATGATTTTAAAAGACTACACAGCTGTCTCTATAATGATACACCCTCAAAACCTAATTGGTTTGGAGATATTGAACTTGTCTGTATTTTTTTAAATTCAAGAGTAATTATTTCTAGACATGAAATGCAAAACATCCAGGGATATTATAAAATTTAGAATATAACTAAATTGAGTCAAAGAAACATTTATTAACTGGAATTGAGTAGAGTTTAGGGACTAAAACATGTTCTACTTTTATATTTGTGGCATTTACTAGTAGGAATAAAGCAAGCCTCAACAATTATGAAATTTATGTTTTAATGCAAAAACTGGTTTTAAACATATGTATCAATACCATTTGCCATATTAATGCTATTGTATGAGATTATGTTAAGAATAGTTTTAAAATGTTAAAACTTATTTTAATATTGTATATTTTAATGATAGAATTGAATTTAAAACAACTTAATGTTTGTCATTCTATTTCTAAAATAATATAACGCAGGATTCATGCCTTACATATAGTTTTTTTATTATTTGTTTTATAAGTTGGAAATGATGGTCTCTTTTTTAATTATCGGTGAATATAGGAATTGAGCCAATACGATTTGATTCTCTTTATTTACACTCACCACCTCTATCCCATAAAAAAGTTTAAAAACTAAAAAATATTTTGGTGTCAAGTTAAGTGTGTTTTATATGAAATTATGAGGGATATATAATCATTTTTATTTAACAAAAGCAGGTATAATATAATATCATCTGGAATCAATATAGTTTCATGGTGATAATTTTCAAATAGCAAAACTGAAGGACTAGTTTTATTTGAAAAAGTATCTTAGACTTAGAGGAATTTGCAATTCTAATATGTATTTATTGAAGTATTATAAGTTCTACACATTTAGTTACCTTTAACAAATTTTTAACTTATCTATTCAAAAAATTTTACAGGGATTCTAATTGTAAGTTATTAGAAAATGGATGACAAATGAATTCTTATCAAATGTTTTTAAAAGAAAATACCAGAGGTCATTTTGAAAAAAAGGTTCATGAAATAATTAATAACTTCATATAGATTTAATAATTACTCTGTAATAGTCGTCGTAGTACTATATGTATATTTACTTTCTTCCAAACAATACTTATGGCTCCTGTATAAATCAGTGTGGAAAAATATTTCAGCTGGGACCCAGAAACAATTCATAGAATCTCATTTAAAATTTCTGTTTTAGGATTGAAATCATTCATATTTCATATAGATAAATTTTACCTATGTATAGGAATAAATAGCTAGATATTTTATATGATAAGACAACCAAATAAATACTATGTGATTTTATCTAAAACATTATTACAAGTTTTTCTCATGAATAAATACAAAAAATATATAAAAACATGCATTTTTTTGGATATATATGTATATATAGTAAGTGCTTAAATCTAATTCCTTTTAGTGTTTTCATAATCTCCTCAAATTAACTATAGTTAAAACTTTTCTTTTTCTGTCACATGTTTTCTCTTTCTCACCTGTGGATGCATAGGCATAAGTAAGTAAATAATATTATTATAATACAAGGGCATTAAAAAAAGATGCAATGGAATACATTAAGTGCTGTTTTACTCTATAGACAGTAATCATCTTTTTTTTTTAATCGTGGAGTCATTTACTTTTAAATAGAAAGTTATATCTTCCACACATCCTTCCCTTTTGATATTTTGAAATTGCATATTTAAACAAGTGTCCCCCTGACAGTACCTGTGCCTACCAAGAGGAGTTTCAAAATCCTCCTTGTTTTTAACTTGTTAAAAATATTTACATATATCTTTCAATTAAAAGTGATGTATTATCATTATATAGATAATTATTTCCAAGAAAAATTAAACCAAAGACAGATCTACACAAAAACAACCGTTATATAATCTCAAGCCCATTTTTTGAAAATGACTTTTCAAGATTAGGGAAAGTAAGTGTTTGCTGTCTCTTTAATCCATATGTCTGCACTTTTTGAAGTATTCAGGTAGTCGTGATATCCTATGTCTACCTATGACAATTCTTTCTTGCAGTTTGTATCTTTGCCAAATGACAATAACAACTTTGGCTTTATGTATCATTTTATTGCCTCACCTGCCATCTTAATTTTCCAATGTTTCAATTTTTTTCAAATTTTCAATGGCTATTTAATTTTTTTCAAAGTATTTCCTTTTGAATTCATTTCTGCTGTGTAGGTAAATATGAAACAATAACAAAAATAAATCTGTTACTCTGAGCTTGAGAACAAAGTCTAATGAGAAACTATTCAAAACCACAAGTCCCCCAGCCTTTCTGGGGGAAGGTCCTGATGCTTTCATCAGAGGCACTTATTTATGTCCTTTGATTTATTCAATTTTACTTGATGAACAGTCACTATGACTCGTGGATGAGGAAACCTTCCAGTGATATCAAAACTGATATATTCATATAATTTTTTTCAGTAAAGTGAGTCTTGACTAAAATTTGATCCAGATCATGTTCAAACGAAATGCCAACAGCCCCTCTCTTATTTGTAAAATATATGTTTTTGAAATGATTAAGCAAAAATTGAAATAGAAAAAATAATTTGTCTGGATTCTAGTGCAAATTCAGTTTCTCACTTGTGATATTGACCACTGTGAAAGAAATTCTCCCATTAGTGCTTGGGGAATTTTATTCTCTTAATCTGGATCCACTTGCAAGCTTTCGCTCAGATATGAAAGTACTGTTCGCTCCAGGAGAAAATTACCAAGATGAGAGATAATGGACAGCTATGAATCAGATACAGCTAAGGATCCTCTTTCCTCAAAACGTTCAGTTCTGAGCATCCTCAGCCAAGGCAAAGGATATGAAAACATTAGCCAAATGCTAGCCTGCAATTTGGAGAACTATGATGTATACATGAGAGAACTGTTATGTGTGGTCATGGATACTTTGCTGTATCAAAATAGTTGAAACAAAATCAGTGTACAGATTGACACATTTTTGTTTTTAATGAATATTTCTCAATGCTGCTCACAGCTCTCAAGCTTGTCTGCCCTGCCTTTTTAGGAACAGGGACATGAAAATAATGTTTTGCTTCAGTAGATTAGTGTTATTTGGTGTTTTATATGTTGAAGTATTAATAGTAATGAGAACCATAAAAAACCTCTTTCTCGGGAAAGCTATGTCACAACCTGTTTCCTTACATTTCATTATCTTCTTTTCTTTCAAGTCTTTTTCTTCTCTACCATTTCCAACAAAGCAGGGGAAATAAGTCAGTTCCAGAAGACAGGAAACATCAGCACGTTGTGGTGCCCTTTTCATCCAATCCTACTGAGGCTCACCAGCAGGCTTATATAGATGGATCCCTTAAGATCAACCAGCCCGAGTCTGCAAGGAAATTCACATTGGTATCTGATGAAGATGCCTTAAGTACCCACAGTGCCCTTTATAAGGAAAATATAGGACAAAGATCAACGAAGTTGGACTTTCCACTGAGAACAGATTCTGTAGGCTCATTTTTACCCAAAACACAAGCCAAGAATGAGCCTCTGGGGGGCCCAAGAGAAAAGATTCAGAAGTTGTGGAATCAGACAATCTGCTTACCTAGGAGACCAATGTGGGAACTTCCCAATACACCAGAAACCATAGAAATGGAGCAATGGCGAAGCAATAGACAGAAAGCTGGAAATGAAATTCCTGGAACCCATCCAAACAAAAGAGGTAGCAGGAATATTGTGCTTACAGCTAAAGATACAAGTTTAAGAGAGAAAGAGGAAATAAGGCCAGGTGAATCACCTATTATACAAGGAATGGAACAGTGGAAATCTCTGTCTTCAGACTCTTCATTTTCTTCTCCTTGGTCTCATTCCTCACTCTCTACTTTGCCAACTGTCTCAAGAGCTGTGGAACTCAAATCAGAGCCTAATGCCATCATTTCTCCTGCTGACTGTTCCTTGGAACTTTCTCCTTCAATGCCTTGCATTTTAAACTCTCCACTCCTAAGGAAAGAGACACCCACTTGTATGTTGACTGTTGAAACCAAAAGGAACATTTTCAAAAGTCTTCCCCATTCATCAAACATCTCTCCCCCTCCGCCATCTCCGCCTCCTCCTCCACGTCCTCCTCCTCCTCCTCCTCCTCTTGTCCTTACTCCGTTGTCTCTTTCCTGTTCTCCTCCTTCTCCTTCTTGTCATCCCTCTCCTCTTCCTTTTCCTCTACTTCTTCCACTTTCTGTTTCTTCTCCTCCCTCTATTTCTCCTCCTCTACCCCTCCTTTCTTCGCTTCCCTCTCTTCCTCCGCCACCTCCTCCTTTTCCTTCTCCACTACCTCCTTCAACTTCAGTTCCATCCCCTATGTGTGTTTGTATACCAGCTGTTAAACACACAGGCACTGTGAAACCACCCAAGGAAATGAAGCCCTCTATGTTACAGCGATCAACACCAACAACAGTTTGTAATGCACACCCTCAAAGAGAGCCAAAAGGAATCCTCAAACATGTTAAAAACTTAGCGGAACTTGAAAAGTCAATAGCTAACATGTACAGTCAAATAGAAAAAAACTATCCACCAACACACAACACAAAACTTCAGACTAGTTGCCCTTCAGAGATAACACATATGGAAATGACATCCGAACAAAATCAGGAGAATCTGCACAATATTGTCGAGGAAATTGAAAAACACTCTCACATTCAATCTACTTCACTGTAATGTTGCTTTTCCTATTTTAACTGGACAACTCTTTCATTGGCCGTAATCTTCAAGTGGAGCCAAATTTGAACATTAAAGAAGATTCTATTCTTTTACCCTAAACTCAATGCGATACTGTTTTTTTCCCTCATTTTTAATTTACAATATTATTAACCTCATCATTACTAACTCATATAGATTTATCTTAATTTTCTTAACTACGAAGTAATTATTTGTCAACATTTATTTAAAAAGTAAGTAATTTCAATCTATTTTTTAATGGGAATATATGGGTATAAAAGTTAGATGTCCAACTTAAACCAGTGGCTTGTTGATCATGTTAATGAAATAACTTTTACTTTTTCATCATAATTTTATGGGAAAAAAGGAGACTGTTACAAGTATGCTAAAAAATATCATAGTTTTTTTTTTTATTTCCTTGCAACCTATATGTGGTAAGAAGAAATGCTACCAATTAAAATGTCATTTATCCTGAAATGTAGGAGATGGCAGACATTATGGTATTCCAAAATAAATCTCAGGTGCTAGAAGATGTAGTCATCTATTTTCATATAAGAGCATCCTTTACTCAGGCTTGCTTTTATCTTACTAGTATGCTTATACATTTGATAAATCTTTTTACTTTTTCTCAGTTGCTATCTTATCTATTGATTTCTCATTGAGCTTTCTTTTTCCTTCTTTATAATGAAAATAAACCTTGAGTCATTGACTTTTATAAGACATTTAATTGTTCCTATAGATGTTTAAAGTGCTCTTTAATTTTATTTGTCCACATTATTACATCATCTCATTAATTATAATTTTATCATAAGATTCTCTTTCAAAGAAAATATTTATCTCATGTTTAATAAAGAAATTCTAATCAGTTTCATCAAAAGAAGGTTAAATAAATGTCTACAAAGGTTTATCGAGTATGAATTTAGTTACTATTTCATTGATGAAAATTGTAAATATTTTTCATTAATTTATCAGTAATATAAAATGTGCTTATCTTATTAAAATTTACAAAGGGGCATTTTGACTTCATTCCTAATTAGTTTTAGTCACTACAGAATAATTATCCAAATTTAGACTATAGTGTATAGGAAAAACATAAAAGTTTTAAATAGAAATCAAGAGGAAGTATATCTGAACTATCACCAGTTTTATATAAGTCTTTACTCTTTGTTTTAGACAGAAAAAACAGAAATTTATACTTTAGGAAGTTATTTCTATAGTTGTAGTGGTTCTCATATGTCAGAGCTCAACTTGTTAAATTCTGAAAGGCATCAGCTAAGCTAAGTACTATCTTCTTATCTTTTTAATGAAAGCTACACTTGACCATCAAGTAAATACTTTGTTTTTCCTATCCAATACTTGAAATAAATTTTGTTTACTAGAAACCTTCACTTGAAATACCAGTATATCATTTGTTTTACTCTGCAATTTTAATTAACTTTAGAAGATATAAATCTGCACAGAGAAAAGCACAATTCCAAAATACAAGCAAAAGTATTCCTTGATAATTACCATTGTAATTATATACTATATGTTCAGGGACCAACAATGCATCATTTAAAAGGTTTTATTCAGCTCATATTATGTGATGTTTCTTTAAGAATTTGGTCTGGAATTCCTAATTAACAAAATCATATCAAAAACAATTTGTAAATCTAATTATTTTCATTAGTTCTTCTTCTTCAGATTCTTTTCATCCAAAGCAAGAGTAATTTCTTTCTTGGGGTTCTTGAATATGACTTTTTTCTCTCTTTCACTGAAAAACTTCAGTTGGAGTTTTTGTTGGCAGCTGGTCATATGCATGAGAACTTGTGCCATTTGGCGGACTCTGACAAGGTATTATTCACAATTGTGTAAGCCTTCAATGTGAGTGTGTGTGTGTGTGTTTAAGCTACTTTGTATTAACTCCTGGGAAATGTTGAAAGAAATGCTAAGAAATTCCTTAGAATTCCTTAATTACATCTCTAAATAATGACCAAAGAAATATTGTAAAAAATCTAAACAGTTTTATCCAGGTGCCTCTAGCCTTACCAAAATGTTACATTGTCCTTTTCTATAACATTTTTATGATATTTGTATGATCAAAAAGTCTTATTAGTATTTTACTTTTCAAATGAAGCATCCATACCCATGTTTTTTATTTAATCTAGTCTTTTACTCACCCATTATATTTAGAAATCCCTGGCTTCATCATAAATGTCGATTAGAAATTCTTCTACATGAGGCTTACTAGTCCAATATTCTTTTAGTACATAAACCAAAATATGTTTCCTCTTCTCAACTCCTAAGCTTCCACAGCCTGACAACCACCATCTGGAAAAAGAGCACCTGTTTTTATTCTGCATTTATTATGCTCCAATTAATACATAAAGAATTATTAGATACCTTATTAAAAGACACAAACAGGTTACCACACATTTTCCTTATTTTAAAAAGTAAGCTGTAATACATACAAATGGTATAAAATGAAATAATTAATACACATTAGATATAAACTACACAGAAATATATATCGATATGATTGGGTTTATAGGAATCAACAGAGTGACATGTTTATTGAAAGTACACAGATAATTATACATATTGGTTCTGTTGTGTACTTCTTCTAAGTCACTCTTTGCCTTTGAGCTAAGACAAACAATAAAAATAACCAAATGACAGGCAACAAAAAGATTAATAGGAGTAGTGTTCATCTATTGATATCTTATTTCCCACATTTATAGAAAATATTGCTAAAGAAAAGAGGCAGTTTTAATATCTTAGAAAATAAAATCTAGTTTTGGTTGGACATTTTATATCATATATGTGACTCAGTTGTCATCATTAAAATCTAAATACGAGTTTTCTCTACGTATCTCTGAAAGATACAAATTGAGTAAAAGTTGAAATTATCTAAACTTCTAATGTTCCAGGAGGATTATCATTACCATAAGTATGGGTAGAACCATATAAGCACTCTGAAAATCTCACTACAGAACTATTACAAATAGTAAATTGATGATAGGGTTAAGTAGCGATTATTATATTGCCACTATCACCAACCATTTCAATCAGCAATGCCTTAATCACTAAAGATGTTTTCAGATAAGTAGATTTATCTTGTGAAGGCTTTGTAATTATTTAAAGAAATTTTTTACAGAGATTTTTTTTATTTTTGTTGAACTTTAGAAAGTTATGTATATACCTCTTCATAATCTTCATTAAGTTGCTTATTAATTCCATGTAGCATGGTCAACAGCACCAGTTTCATACTTTAGAACAACATTTTAATGAATAATAAATTAAAATATTCATAATTAGTGACATTCAACATTGGGAAAGTCTATACTTATTTTCCCGCTCAAGTAGGGTCAAATGTTTCACTAACTCGTGATCCATGAACTTCATAAAGCTTTATGTAATATTGAAAGTTTGGCTATTATACCTTCAAAAAGTTTTTCACTTCATGTTTAATAATGTCGTAGACACTTCATGTCTAATTAACTTTTAAAAGCTAATAGTACAATCTTACAAACATTTGGAAGAATATATTATAGTCATGGATATATATATATATATATATATATATACACATATATATAAAATCTGAACTAATGTGTTTTTCATGTATAAAACACATCTTTCCCTAAATGAGTATCTTCTATGCATTAAGACATCATCTAGGACAGAGATGATATACTATACCTTTTATTTCAATTGATCAAAACAAAGTGTCTATTGTACACCACTGCGATAAAATAGATTGTGTATGTTTTGGTGTTCATATGGAATGAGGGTCAGGGTGATAAATGTTTTTAATAATGCTGGTATGAAACCTTGATCCTCCTGTCTTGATACTGCCACAAAATATATTTCTCACTGAGACAATTTTTAGTAAAAATTACTTTCCCAGTTTTTCTCAGATCTTTTTTTTTTTTTTAACACCCTTACCTAAACTTTTTTTTAACCTAAAAACCCAAGATGTTTAATACGGATTTCTTCGTTTCTGCCTTGCAGGAGAGGTTATGCATCAGAGGTAAGGGCTTTATGGTGTTATGTTATACCAAGGACTGATTTATATTATTTTTCAAAACTAGGGTACTTTCTTTTATTTTAACAAAACTTATAAGTATGCTATGCTATTTCTTTTGTATCTGTTGCTTCCTTGTTTGGGTGTTTTAAGTCTATTTAATAAGTAAAGAAGGATCAACTGCTCACCTATTCAAGGATACATTGATTTATTTTTTTCCTGTGTTACTATTATTTAGTATTGTGAGATTCCCCTAAATTTATTTTTGTAAGGCTATAAACCTAATTTAGAAACTGTAGCATTATTGACATCAGTTCTTTTTACCAGTCCAAGGCTCCATCCTAACACATTAGAGCTTGAGATCTTAAAGCGTTTTTTTTTTTTTTTTGAAAAACGACTGGCTTTCCTATTGTGTTAATTTGACTCCCAGTCTACAGAGAAGATACTGGGCATTCTGGCCAAGAGTACCTGGCTCACCACACTGTAATTGGTGCTGTCAGTGAAGCCACTGAGAACCGAGCATGTATTGTTTAGCATAAAGCTTTTCAGTTAAGAGACTGAAATAAGCATGCGATCTGATTCGCTAATAGTTTAGAATGCATAAGACCTAAATTATTTGAAAGTTAAGATGCATGCCTTTAAGAACAACTGGTTTTCAGGGATAATTATAATAGCCAACAGGATGAATCAGAATATTTCTAACTTAAACTTCCTGCTCTTTTAAATGAATACCTTAAGTAGACTGACTCACTAACGACTGAATCATGAAAAGTCCATCTGTTCAGTCAAACAGTTTTCTAGTGACCATTCCAAACAGTTGGTTCATTGGTGGAAATATCGCTTAGAACTTCTCTGCCCATTCTCCTATTGCTTACTTTAAGATTCCTGTGGTATAACTATTTCCCCCCAAAGAGTTGGTAACCCAAAATTTGAATTGTGATTCTTCTTTCCATCCGATTAAAGTACAAATCATCATAAAACAGACCAGTAGTGACCGTGTTTCCTTTAAATAAGTGTGGGTGAAGTAGAGCGGCAATAGGAAGTGATTCCTGCAAAATCTGAGGAAGGACAATTGCCCTAATCACAGAAGAATTTCTGAAAACATGCTTAATACATGAGGACAGGCACTCCACATTTTGGTAAAAAGAAAAAAATGGGAAGCATGTTTTAAATATGATGACAAATAATATTTATCATTCTATATCATTTTGTGCGCTCTACCCTTCTTCCTAACGAACCTGATTACGTTTAATGTGATTGGGGAGAAAAAAAGAGGGGCAATTTAAAACAAGGTTAAAATTGCTATGAAGAATTTTATGACACTTAAAGTGCTTTTAATAGCATAAGGACTCTATAATATGAAGCTCAAACCAAGAATATTATTTATAGATTTCTATTTATTAAGATTAACCTTGATGTTAATTAAAACAGTGATGAAATTAAAATAAATTAACTCTTCATAAATTTATGTTCCAACATGAATAATTAGTCAAAATATTATTTAATGCTATTGGTAGCTATCACGTGAACAAGGAATCATAATCCCAAGGTAACCAGTTTTAAGCTGTAACCTTTTTTTCTCTCTTTCCAATCATAATCTACCTTTTCCCTTGAAATTATTTTCTAAATCTTTCTCTCTTTTTTTTTTTTTTTCCTATTTTAATTTCCTTTGGCAGCAACAACAACTGCTGAGGCCTTCTCTTCTTAAACCAGAGGTATCAATTTTCTTTCTCTTTTCAACCTCCCTGAGTCTTCACAACGATATTTTATTGTGACTTTAATGTCCATCTGACATGTAGGCAGAGTGGGTAGCTGCCCTCATGGCATAATTTTACAAGAGAGAGAAAAGGTGGTTTTAAAATAAACAAGAAAACAAATCACCTCACCACTTCTTCCTGGTGGCTGAAATTCCAATTTTTTTTTGCTTCATCCTCTGGGAACTAGACAGATAAAAACTTTAGTCCTGTTAAAAGCAAGCTATCATTGAATGAAGTAATTCATAAACTTGATCAGCCTCTTGTCTAAATTAATCATAACTGATCCTGAGATCAGATTTTGATTAGTTTTCAAAAATTGAAAAAAAAATACTACAAAAAAGAAACCAAAAAACGCTGACATCTGTGATGAAATAACAGAAGGTAGAAACTGGGTTATGATTAACAGTATTTAATTATTTCATGTAATTCAAAATACTGCCTTTGGGCACTTGTCTATTTCAAAATGCCTATGACGTTTTCTTCTGCAATGAGAAAAAGATAGGCACAGTTATATAATACATTCATATTATTTATACTTATGATTTTATACTGCAATTTTTTAAAGCAACATTATGTAAAATTATTTTCTTTGGCAAATTTAATATTTTATAGGATCCACTTAAAAACATTATTTCATTTTCTTAACAAAAGAATCTTCACTTTGCTAAAGAGAGGCATTTTCTGGTTAAAACTTGCTTCCCAAAATTTGGAGGTTGACTGGCAGGAATATTCCACTTTTATAAATTTTTAACAAAAATGTCCATGGAGACATCTCCATAGACTACTGAATTAGATAACTCAGTTAAAAGCCAAATGCCAATTACTGGATGCAACATGTTAGTCAAAATATGCACTTTTCTGGGCATTAGTTTAATCTTTCATAAAATGTTAGCAATAATACTTAACATATGAGCTCCCAGCTCAACATCTGGAACATAGTAGGAAGAAATTCAATAAATGGTAGTTATTGTTCTTTTTGTTTACATCAGTGCAAATGTTTCTTTTTTGATCAATAAGATACTAAGCTAATACTATGTCTTCTCTGTTTGAAATTCTCTTCTCTTGGCAAAAATTGAATTTTAAAAATATTTTTGTGTTTTATCTGCCCACAAAATCACTTTTTAGTATGTTACTTAATATGATTTTCTAAACTTGGGACTCACCTACCTACTAAGAGCGACAGGGACTACTGCGTGGAGGGTTTCACTGTCTGTATTCAAACTGAACCAGGAATCTTAATGGTCACCAGTTCCTTTCTTCCTCTATGTTTGCATGCTTGCTTGTTCATTTTTCTGAAAAGCTGAGGTTCCACTCTTCAGTAATGGATTTCATAAGAATCGAAGAGGGACCCTTCAGATCGAGCCAGTCCTCTAGTGCCAATCCCTCATTTTCAACTCGGACTGCACAGTGACTGATTGAATCAAGGGCTAATTTTCCTGGGTTCCAACCCAGTTGCTTCTATCCATTTATTTATTTATTTATTTATTTATTTAATATTTTTAAAGTCATCTGATGCCAGATATATATTATAGCTAGCAAGAGCTGAGCTTTACTCTCCCTTTAGGAAAAAAAAAGCATCTATCTGTAAAGAAAACTTGTTTATTCTAATGTTTAAAATCTGAAATCCACTCAGTTGCATTGTTTCCATAAATATTTATTTTTTATTATTGCTAAAAGTTTTTAAAACTGAACTTCAAAGCCATTGTTAATTGTTGTGAGGACTCCTAATGTGAGGTCTTCCCTGTAACAGAATTTGAAGTGTGTGTCACAGTGTTGTTGTTAGCTATAAGCACAGTGTTTTACAGGAGATCTCCAGAACCTCTGCATCTTGCCTAATTGAAACTTTACACCCTGTTGAACAGAAGCTGCCATTTCCCCCTCTCCCCACCATGAGGCAATTATCATTCCACTGTCTGCTTCTATGAGTTTGACTATTTAGATGCTTCGTATAAGTGGAATCATGCTGCCTCTGCCCTTCTGTTACTAGCTTTTTTCATTTAACATGATACTTCCAAAATTAATCTATGCTGTTGTGTATGGCAGGAATTCCATCTCTTTCAAGGCTGCATGGTATTCCATTGTATGTATATACTGCATTTTTTGTATTCATTCTTCCATTGATGGATATTTAGGTTTCAACTTTAAAATCATTTGGTGATGTTTTCTCAGTCTCCCTATGTATGCATGACATTAAACATGTATTGGCTAAGCTGTTTAAAAGTATTAGATCTGAGACCTACTTGCTCCATTTAAATCAGCAAAATTATGTTGGGTTTTTAGATGCCTCAAAAGTCCAAGCCTACCAATATGTATATATGTATGTATTTAGTTTGAATAACTTAAATTTAGACTTTAAAACTTTGTTCTCATTTCTTGTCTTTCCTGACCTCATTTCCTACCCTCCCACCCGCCTTCCTATAGTGAATAATTTTTGTTGAAATAAAACCACAGCATAAAAGTGTACAAATCATGTAGTATAGCTAGATAATACTTACAGAGTGCACATGCCCTACTAGCTCTCCAGAAATGTCATCCTTATCAATATTCAGATATCATTTCTCCTTTCCCTAACCACTCACCTGGCTTCTTTATTTTTATGATAAATATATATATATATATATATATATATACACACACATATATATATGCATATATATTTTTAATATATCTAATAATTATATATATATCTAATATTAATTATATATATAATTTCAGCTTTATTGAGGTATAATTAACAAAGAAAATTGTGAGATATTTTATGTGTAAATTGTGGTGATTTGATATATCTGTGCATTGTGCTGAGTCCCTTCATCTAGTTAATTAACACATCTATCACCTCACAAATTTACTTTTTATTATGTGTGAGAATATTTTAGTTCTCATCTCTTAGCTAATTTCAGTTATACAATACAGTATTATCAACTATAGTCATCATCCTTTACATTAGAACCTCAAATCTTATTCATCTTACAGTGAGTTTTTAAGCTTTTACCAACCTCTCTCTATCTCCACACCCCCAGCCATTGACAATCACTTTTCTACTCTCTGTTTCTTGACTTTTTATTTATTTATATATGTGTTTAGATTCTACATATAAGTCATATCATGCAGTATTTATCTCTGTTTGGCTTGTTTTACCTAGCATAATGCCCTCAATGTTACATCCACGTTGTCATAAATGGCAGTATTTCCTTTTTTCTAAATGTAGGTATTCATTGTGTAGTGGTAGTATATCATAGCCAATGAGGTTTATCTGAGGCATGATTATTGCTAATTGAAAACTTTTCACCTGGCTTCTAACAAATATTGAAGTTTCTATAAATAGAATAATATGTTTCATTTGTACCTGACTTCTTTTGCTCATCATTCTGTTTGGGAGATTCATCTCTGTTGTTGTGTGATGTTGTACTGTGTTTACATTATGGACTTTTGCATTGGTTCCGGCTTTGGGCTGTTATGAATACTGTGTTTCGGTATACAATTGTACACATTTATATTGGGTATATAAACTGAACTGTATCGGATTTCTGTGAAATGGATAGGCATGTATTTGACTTTGGTATTATTGCCAAATATTTCCCAAAGGGTTTTACTAATTTCTAATCATTCCAGCAGTGTATGAGTTCCAGTGCTCCGTGTCCCTGCCAAAACATAGTATCAGTAATCTTTTTCTTTCTTTGTAATCTTAGCTATTCTGATGGGTAAACTGAAGTTGTTTTAACTTCAAAATTGGATTCCTTCGCAGCTGGTTTACAAAATCTTTGTAAATTGCAAAATCATCAGATAGTTCATTCATAGAATAGAGGGACTGCAAACTTAGATAAGGTAAATTAAGTGAATTAAATTATTAGATGTAAAAAAATTAAAAAGAGCAGATGGGAGATCCTATTGCAACTATGGGTATAAGCGTAAAACAATAAGGTTGAAAGCATAGTAAAAAAAGGAGAGGCATGATTGCTATAAGCAATCTAACTAAATACATGACACGTGAAAATATGAGCCCAATGTTGCCATCTTTTTATTTTTCAAGAGAAATCAAATCCAGATTTTTATAGTATTTTCTGATTAGAATTTTGACAACAAATTCAATTTTTTAAAAATGATGTTTGCCAAACAAAGCACAACTTAGGGTTATACAGGCATATGAATTTTCATACTTTTCTAATGATATATTTGTGCTCTCAGAGAACATTTTTTTCCTGACTGTTTATTATACTTGGATCAGCAGAATTAATTCTAATTAATAATAAGTGATTTTAGAAATAAATACTAACATATTTTCCTGTTGATAGCTATAATTTTGCTTTATTTTTTCTTTATTGAAAAATTGATTTAATTAACCATTCAGTTCGACCTATATAAATATTAAAATAGAATTTAACAAGGAAATGTAATGACATTGAATTTAGTAGTTACTTAAAACTAGCTTCACATCTATATCTCAGGGAAAAAATATATTTTTATAAGAGAAGAGTTTGACAAAAATCAGTGTTGCCTGTAATTTAGAACTGGAAGCCTTGAAAGGGCTCTGCTCTGACAAATTCCCTCTTTTTTTAAAAAAAAGAATTAAATCCAGAATTAGCAGTATGTTTTAAAATTAAACATTTTGGGGAAATATCTCACATTAATGGAATTTTTTATTTATGTGTAAATGCTTATTATCAGATCGTTCTTAAGAATAGATTTTGATGAACAGAAATACTCTGGGGATTAGAAAGCTGTTAGAAGGAAGATGAAACAATGCTGAAGATAATGCTATAATTTTCCTCAAGGCTAAAACCTGTTAATAGTATAAGCTAAAACAGAGTGAAATATTCACTGCCTATTGATAGTTATAAAACTGACCCAAGAACAAGTAATATGCTCAAATGCAATCTTTAACAGACTTACTGCTATAAAAACATTTACCTTTTTTACCCCTTCGGGTCTGGTTACATAACCTTATTTTGTGTAAAATAGTTTAACAGCCAGAAAAAAAAGTATTTGAATATGTATCACTAATATTTGTGATTGAAATTATTTTGGCAGGAGTATTTTGAGAGTCATCGAATTCTAGGTCTGGAAATCTGGGATCTGAAATATGATAAGAATTTGTTTTCAAATGCAATTTCTCTTTTTGAACAATAGGAGTTATCCATGGAGTCTGGAATTGATCCTGGCCAGGAATATGGACAAGATTATTACAGTTATGAGCATGGGTACATCTTCAGATTTTTTATCCAGCATCTTAATATTTTATGAATAATGAGGAGTTAGTAAATAATTATTACTAGCATTTGTTTATGTCATTTCATCTGTTTCATCTTTGAAAATGAGTATGTATTTAGTTTTAATTTTAGTCAAGTTTTAACCATTTTTCCATATTGAGCTCTGTTTTGATGTTCTATATTGATATTGACTACAACTCTAAGACTGCAGTAAAATTATTCAAAATTATTCATATGGGAAATAAAAGTCAAACATATTTGCTCAATTCCTGAATTCACCTTTTTTTTCACATGAGATGTATAACATTTTATCTAACCAGTCAGCCTTAAGATTTTATCCAAGAAAAACTGAGAAGAAAACATACTTTAGAATTTAGTAGTAAGCATCTCAAAATTCACTTGTATACACAAAAGTTAACCGCTTTCTAAAAATGAAGTAGAGAAATGTACAGACCAGTAGATATCATGGTTGAAGTAGATCTTTGCTATAAAGATAGAGATTTTATGTTCTCAGTAAGCTATTATACTTTTAGAAAGAACCTATTTTGTGCCCTAAAATCTTCAATTAATTAAAGAACAATATGCTTTTCTCTTCATTCTAATCTCTCCCAAAACTTAAATCTGAAATAACTTGACTCTCTTTATTGTTATTCCAGGGTATCATTATGGCAAAATCATTGGTGATCAGGTTGTAGTACTTACGTTGTGGTTTTATAACTAGTTTACAAGGAGCCTAATAGGTGCCGTATAAATATATGTTGATTGAATGATGAAGAAAAAGAAGAACACAGAGAGAAGGAAGTCATGGTAGACTTTATACTGACCATGTGAAAAAAAAAAATTAAAGTTGTAAGTTTCTATTACAGGTATGAAATGCCTCAATATGGAAGTCGCCGTCGCTTGTTACCACCTGGTGAACAAGAAGAATACGGTGAGGTGGTTGGTGAAGCTGAGGAGGGAATTGCGGAGGAAGAGGTAATTAGTATAATTTTCTTATGTAAGGTTAATATTCCAAGAGTAAATTTTAACCCTATTTGAAAAGCAGGCTAAAAAGTATTGCAAAAATAAAAAATCCTATTTACTTAATACATGTTTTCCATAGAAATGTAATAATATGGACCATTTTTTTTGCCTTATGTATAGAAGGAAATTAATTTTTATGTAAGTTTAACTTATGGCCTTTTATAAAATGTTTAAACACCTGGAATAAATCCATAAAGCAATTATGTTTTCAAAAATCTCAATGTTTATCTTTCCCCATAAAGACAACATTGTAATAAAAGTATAAAAAGTATTTTGCAAAACAATGTTTACTTTTGTTTCTAAATTGTCTAGCATACCTAGGAGTCATAAAAAAACATAGCCTCCATAACTGAAAAGTTATCAGAGGAAAATAAAATATTACCACCAATATGTTTAATGAAATACCATTTAAGCTTAAATTAGCATGAGTCATTTATATCAAATTCTGAATTGTTCTTGAAATATTCATTTGGAACATTTATCAAAAAAAAAATCCCACACACACAAATAATAAATGTCACTATAGCTTTACCCTGTTCAAAATTAAGACAATTGTCAAATCTCACAAGCTATTCAGATAAACTATCATAATTTCCTCATTATTTAAAATTTTGTTAAAGAAAATACATAAAAAATATTTAAAGTCTAGGGATGGGAGAGGGAAATATAACAATTTTTTTTCTCCTTTGATATAAGATGTACAATACATTTTGAATAAGAAAAAAAAGAGAAAACATTAGAATTTGGTATTATACAATAGAAGCCAAAATAAAATAGTTTACTTGTTCTTGATTATCTTCTGTCTATGTAAAGTGGGGGTAAACAATAGAGAATTGTGTGATTGTTTCTGAAGCCAGTTATATAACTTGCATGAAGCGATCACCCCACAGATTCATTCCTGCTTAACTTGTGTGGGACAAGGTCACAACATAACCATCCCCCAGCTGACACTTCAATTGCATTTTCATGATTTTCAGGCAAAGGAAGTTAGAGAGCCTAGTGAGGAGCAAGAAGTAGTTGTCACTATTGAAAAGCCTCCAGAAGCTGAGCCTACATACACGACATGGAAGAGTGCCAGGATATTCCCAATGATTTTTAAGAAAGTTAGAGGACTAGCTGATAGAAGAGGCGTCATTGACCTTGAGGAAGAAGAGTGGCAGAGACGCCTTGAGGAAGAAGATAGAGACTATTTGAGACTAGAGCTGGAAGCAGAAGAAGGTTCAGAAAGCACCGTGGAGTCAGAGGAGGAACCTTCCAGTGACTACACTTTGTACACTGAATCTGAATTCGAGTTTAGTTTGTCTGAGACGACAGTAGAGTCTGAGTCAGAGACACCGTCTGAGGAGGAGGAAAGCTCTACCGCGGAATCAGGATCGGAATCCACAGAGTCAGAAGGAACAAAGAGAAGAAAAAACATTTTTCTTGCAAGGAGAAGGCCCATTGCTGAAGGGGAAGTTCAAGCGGGGCCACCCAGAGAACCAGAACTGGTTCTGGAAGAAGAAGAACGCCCAGAAGGAGAAGAGAGTGAGCTGGCCCCTGTGGAAGAATCAACAGAGCTTGAATCTCACATCGCAGAGGAGGGCAGCGCAAGATCAGCTTCTGCGGAAGGAAGTGGGGAAAGTGAGGAGGAATCAGAGTCGTCTAGCAGTACTAGTGAGAGTCAGTCTGGAGGTCCGTGGGGCTTTCAGGTGCCAGAGCAAGACACACGCAAGGATGAAAACCAAAAGAAACCTCCAGGAGCAAACTCGGAAGGGTACAACACAGCACTTTAAAAGAGATGACAGGAGGTGGGAGTCTTGCAGTGATGAGTGCTCTTGTGTGCAGTGCCTCTGTGTGTTCTCTGAAATGACCCTTGAAGGGGAGGCAATTGATCATGGTTTTGATCTGACAAGATTAGAGACATGCCAGAAAAGTGAATATATATGCTGTCCACATAGATGTATATGTTAGAGAGTATTAGGGTAAAACTGACTCCTCTTTCCTATATTGCTAATTCAGAAGACATACAATTGGTTAATCAATATTTAATATCACATAGTGGGATTTCTGTTAACGCAGTGTGGCATTATGTATTACAAGGATGCCCTGCCTATTGGAATGGATTATATGAATACATATGGTGGTTTTTATATCACCTTTAAAAAAATAACTCCTTAGGACAGGCTGCAACAAATGAGGTCTCTAAAAGCCTACTTTTGCATATATGTACATTTCGACTGGCTAAGGTATAATCAAAAAGATCATGAACATGTTCAATTAAGTTTGTAGCTGACACTTTCAAATATTAGAAGTTAAATAAAATAAATTAAAAAATTAAGTTAGCTACCATTTCTTTTCCATTGTGGATATTATCTAAAGTGAATTTAGAAAATAAAAATAAATTTTAACAGTTATACAAATTTTTTCTGGGTAAGTAAACATAATCATTTTAAAATACGTACCTGAAAATAAAAAAAAAGGATGGCTTACATAGTGCAATGTGTTGGTAGTTCACATACATGAAAATGCAATACTGTTTTGAGAGTAACCTCCTATTATTTAACCTTTGCTCCTTGCCATTTCTAATGTGGATTGGTTAAAGAAAAATAAATTTGTGAAATTGTCCATTGTATTCCAGTTGCTTACAAAAGGAAAGTTTACAATAATTAGTGTTCAGTTTTGTGTGTTACTATATAAATTATGCTGGGTGGGGAGATATTTTCTTTTAAGTTTAACATGTATTTTAATGAAATGACCCAGAACACCAGGATACTTCAAGGGAATGAATACATTAAACTATACCAAAAAAAAATGGCTAACAATAAAGAACGAATTAGGAGTTAGAATAATGTGGGTTTACAAATATCTTTAAAATATTGGGAATGGAAGTACTAGTATGAACAGAATATACTAATGCTGTGCATTCCTTTCAATTCAACTTTCCTGAATCATATAGCAACTGTCAAACAATGGATCAGATCCTCAGTTAAATTTAAATTATATACTTTTTCTTTTCATCTAGAATAGCAATTTGATGTAAAAGAAAACATGTGCTTCCTGAAATAAATGTCTGCCCCCTAACTCAGCAACACTTTCTTCAGAAGTTTAGCTCTAAAGCCAATGAAGCAGTGGTGGAAAAGAGACAGATGTTAATAAAGAGTTGTTTCCTTCTACCTCTTTTGAGTTATTTACCTTTGATTGCTTTCTAGCAAAGGTTTTTAATTTCACAGGCATTATAACCATTGCCCTTTTAATTCCATTGATGATGACTCACCTTTTTTTTCTCCCCCCCCCCCCCCGCTGACAGTGGGCAAGAAAAAGAATGATCAAGTTAGTTGTTGATCGAGAATATGAAACTAGCTCAACTGGAGAAGACAGTGCTCCTGAATGTCAGAGAAACCGTCTTCACAATCCTAGTATCCACAGTAATGTTAACGGCAATATATATATTGCACAGAATGGCTCTGTGGTGAGAACCCGCCGTGCCTGCCTCACTGATAGCGTAAAAGCTACGTCCCCTGTCCGACTGGGGAGGCACTTTAAGAAACTAGACAAGTTGGCAGTGACACATGAGGAGAATGTGCCTCTGAACACATTATCGAAGGGGCCATTTTCTACCGAGGAAATGAACACAAGACCGACTCTGGTAACGTTTGCCCCTTGCCCACTGGGGAGTGACAGTACAGCAGTGAAGCCACTGGGAAACAGGCTGAAAAGCACAGTTGAACAGGAGTCCATGGTGGACAGTAAGAACATCAAGGAACCTTTGGAATTCCATAGTGACCACACGCAGTCAGATGACGAGGAGCTTTGGATGGGCCCCTGGAACAACCTCCATATACCAATGACAAAACTGTGACCAATTTTTTTTTAAAGTTATTTTGACTTTTACTTCAGATTTTAATAAACTGGGCTGTTTATTGGCACTGAGAAAACAATGTATGGAATTTACATCATGCACACAAGCTAAAACTTTGAACAATATGCTTTAAAGTTTAGAAAGAGACAGATTTGCACTCACATTTGTTATCAATTAGTTGTTCTGCCCAGAAAAATCTTTTTGGACAGATTCTCATTTCACCAAATACCATATTTAAACATTTAGCAGTTCTGTTAGATCTTAATTATTTTTTTTCATTTTAATAAACAGAAATAATTTACCAAGTAATCATTTATATTTTGTTGATTAATGTGAATTTTTCGTCATCTCTAGCTTCACAGAACTTTTCTGGTCCATGTAATTTTACTTTTCATTAAAAAATGGGAAAAATTATATTAGAGGATTTTATAGGTAATAGGTTTATACAATTGCTGTCTATGCTGTCCTGATTTTTAAGAAAGATAGAATTACAAAGTGATAGTAAATGTGGGAATCTTCTGAATCATGAGCCTATTTAGAATCATGAAACTATTTTCCTTTTTGTCCAATATAAAGTTGTTTTTTTAAGTTTTTGTGTATGTATGTTGACTTTTTAAGGAACACTTGAAGTCATATCTTTTATACATATTATTTACAGTTTCCCCTGGTGTCCCTCCTGCCACACATACACACACTCTATAAACACTATTCATGTCAAACACCCATGATAGGTAATTTAGTTTAACTATTTGAAGTGAAATCATTATTTGGAGCACCAGAGAAATCTCACCCTCAGCAAAATGTTACTGAGATAGGAAAGGATCAAATAGGCACTAATGCACCTAAAACCACAATTTCAATGTGAAAGATGTGGTAAGATCAGAGAAGTTTCACATTAACGTCACTGGGCATGAATATTTTATAAGCTAGGTATACAGGAACTTGGCAGGATCAAGAATTTATATAATATGTGAAATACCTATAAAGGCTATAAATCTGTAGCTTCAGATGTATTATAGTATATCACTTCTCCCAGCTCCAGTTTATTTATAGAATATTTTAATACATATAATACTTATGTGCATAAAGTGTAGGACCAGAAAATGACTGCTGGGCATTTTTTTTTTATCAAAGAATGCATCTTGCATTTTTCACCATTGAGTGAAGCACAGTATTTCACCACTAACTGAAATGAAAACTATGTATTCTTTTAAAAACATCTCCAAAATTTGTCTTGTGTATTACATACTCTCCAGATGTAAAAATGGATGAAACAAGTTAAGAGCATTCAGGATTCTATTGAATATGACTTAGTATCATATGCTTAACAAACTCACCTCAAATTTTGCACAGTATTGACCAAGTTGAGACTTCAATAACATTTTTTCAGGCATGTTTATTATATGGTTGAAAGATTCAATAGCGCACTGCTATTTATTTCATTGTCATGCTTCATATTTCAAAAATAGTTTGTTGTAATGCTATCTCCTTATTTCCAAAGGGAATGAATTGGATATAACATAAACTTTCCAACTTATGAGTGGTATGTGTTCATTGCAGATTTCAAAAAGTATTTGAGATCAAATACAGTAACATCTCATTTATCTGACCTTATTGAAAATTAATGCATTCTATATATACCTTGCTTCATTATCCTAGCATTAACTGGGAGCTTGTTAGAAATATAGAATCTTGCCCACATTCTCAGGTCTACTAAATAAGAATCCATGTTCTCACAAGATCCCAAGATAGTTTATATGCATATTAAATTTGGATAGTAATTATTTATACCATTGAACTCCAGGGCTTACTCCTTGAAGTACCAAAGCAATTGTTTTTAGTATAAAATATTTTGAATAGAAGTTAGGTTAAGCATTTTATATTTTCCCAATTGCTCAGAGATCACTAAATATAATTAAATATTTTTCTGATGTTCCAAAGTCATCTCAACTAATATCTCATGATATTCTGTCTGCATACAGCTTTATGTATTTTTTTCTCTTTCTCCAATTTCACATCAGTTAAATGTGATATTTAATTCTGTCGCTGTGCCTCTCTCTAAAATTCATCTTCCAGTTTACTTCTAATCTCTTGGGGAGAAAGTTTGTGTCTTTGTTTTTCTTGTTGTTATTGAAAAATCATTAACCTGAGTTAGGGATCAGGTATGTGAATTCAAAAATCAAAGCTTTGTGATTCTCAGGAGCTTTGGGGGGTCACTATTAGGATCTAAACACTGTTCTAGAAACCTGAATTTGGCAGAAGACTAATGCCCTAATATATGAGATGTCACTGTATTTTAAAGTTTAACGTTTACAAAGAAATATGCAAAATATTAACTACTCACTAGACATAGTTGAGCAATTTCAAGTTGATCATTTCAGTAAAAACAATCATAAAGTTAATCCGTCCCTAAGTTAGTGGAGATAGTATAAAGTTAAGCAGTATTGACACAAAACAACCAAATCAAATATTCAGTCAGTGTATTTTGAGGTAAAGTATACATGGCAGAAAAAAACATTACCAACTAATTACATAAATCTGGATCAACTGAATAGTTACTTTGTTAAGACTTTCAGTAATCTATAAAACTCTGACTCAGGATTAAAATTGAGGAACCCAGGGGAGATATCCAAGTTTAAACTTAAGAATACTTCCTATAAATGATGTTTCCACATAAATGTTTATAAAGAAATTGATGATTATTTTTCCTACATGGGAATAACAGATTTTTGGTATTCTTAATCACAGCCAGCTTTCAATCAGAAGAAACAGCAGGTCTTGGCTGGTTAAGATGAGAATGGGCTCTATGACTATAATATTGCTAAACCTGTTGTTTTCAAGAGAAGGTCTCATGAGCATGAGGGGTGAAAGGAGGAAGAATGAACAGAAAGAGTGAAAATGACATATAGAAAATTTGTGACTCAATGACCAACAAATCACAGACTATAATCTCTCTGTCTACACTTCTCTTTTTCATTTATTACAGACTCTGAGAGTTGTCATAGAATTACAACTTTAGGTTGGCCAAAAGCATCTTTTTAAATCTAGGGGGAAAAAAAAAGTTTGCCTTGAATTTTATATGTAATATGCTGTTTGTGTTAATAAACTGTATTGTTAACAGGGATGTTAAAACATATTATTTCTCCTGTAGCTCTTCCAAATGGGATATGGCAGCGAATAGTAAAATAGTGTTCATTGCATTTATGTATCATGGAGGCAGAAAAAAATGAACATTGATTCTTGAGGGAAGACATTTTCTTTTAGTGTATGAGCCTAGTTTTTTTCTCTTGTTCTGCTTCACTTTCTGCAGTTTATACCATAAGTGGGGCTTATATACCACTTCAATTAATTAGTTAAATAGGCAGAAAGTGCTAATAATCTATTCTCAGGGCAGATGCCCATTGGTGCCTGCAATAACACAGTGATAAGGCTGAGG